TTATTATTTTGATACTGAGCCCGAGGGGCAAATTTCTAATTATTATTTTGATACTGAGCCCGAGGGGTAGATTTCTACTTATTATTTTGATACTGAGCTAGAGGGACAGATTTCTAGTTATTATTTTGATACTGTGCCCGAGGGGCAGATTTCTACTTGTTGTTTTGATATTGAGCCCGAGGGGCAGATTTCTACTCGTCATTTTACTGCCAAATTACCTGTTTTACTGGTTTAAAAGAAATTTCACATGATGTTTCACTGGATTATTTTGAATAACTTCACTACTTCTGTATAGAATGTTGTGTGCCTTAACGTGTTTTCTTACCTTCAGTCATTATTTATATTTATTACTCACCGGGTCGGAGTACTCACATTACTTCCTGCACCATGTGTGCAGGTACATGTATTCCTGAGGCATAGAGCGAGTTTTCTGCTGTTCAGTTTTCATTGGAGTTATCGAGGTAGCTACATGGCGTTCGCAGACCTGTTTTCTCCCTTATCTTCTGTTATTTATGATATCTTCAGACTTTGTTCCTAATTCCATACTTTGTAAAATTTTAGTAAACTCTGTAGTAGCTCATGACTTGTGACACCCCGGTTAGGGCTGAGTTGGTTGGATTTCCGTATTTTATCTATACTTTTCGCTATTGGATATTATTAAACCATGTTTATACTATAATTGTGTTAATTAATTGTCTTAAAAGGATGAATTGGGTTGAATGGTTGGCCTTGTCTTCATGAGAGGCGCTATCACGACCAGGTTCGGGAATTGGGTCGTGACAATCTTCACATGAAAAGTGGCTAAATTTCTATTATTTTTCAAATTGGGCTATTTTTGAATGACCAGTTGTAAAGTTGGCTATTTTTAAATTTCTCCCTAGATTTACTGATTCTTGTTCTTATTGATTAGAACTTTAAGTAATAGCCCGATTCTATTTTGTATAAATAGTCCCAAAGGACTCGCATTTGTTTCCAGACTATAAATCACAGCTTCGTTATACTTTTGACTATTTCTGCACTGGCGTCAACCTGTCATTACCCTCCTCATTTATTTGGGTTTAGTATTGGCTACATTCTGAACCTCACATTTATGTTGTGAATTTCTACCCCTGACTTCTGTTTTTTGATGGTCTGTATATCATATCCTAGACTGCGTATTATTTGGTTGATGCCTTAATTGTTTTAGTTTATCAAACAGAAAGTGCCCAATCCTACAAGACTAATATTGTTTTAAATTATTAATTTCATCAAGATTTATCTGAAAGAGAATTGATAGATCATCTTACCAGTAGCAATTAGACCAATAACTGATCTTGTTTTTCTTTTTGTCCATATCTTTCCCGGCGAGTTCCACACATAATACTCTGAAAATTCTTTGTATATGTATTGTCGTGCTTCAGTATCCCTCGAGCATGTCCGAAAATACTCCGTGACCATGGTTAGCGTCACATATTCCCACGCAATCACATTTTGCAAATTTTGCTTGCTCCAATGGCACACTGTGTATTGACATTTCACAAAACTTGTATAGTTATTTATTTCATCAAAAGTTTTAATTAACCTTGTTGGAGATAAATATTTATCTGTTTGTCTATCCGGGAGATGTAGTTGAAGGTTAATGATAGGAGGTTGCATTTCACTGAGATTGAATTCATAAATTCTCCATAGTGCTTCTGGCGGAGACACCTAACGTGCGTCTTGAAAATTTTGGATTTCATCAACTACTTTTTCGCCATCATCTAATTCAATATAAACAGCACACATATCATGCCCTTTATATATATATATATACTTGTAGAGATACTTGATTGCTTTCACTCCAGAGCAAGACTCTACATTAATATGACAATTGTATCTAGTTAGTAAGTAAGGATTATATGGCACAACCCACTGATTATTCATTCTCAAGCCACGAACATTTACGATCTTTCCATAATTTCTTCTCTTATAAATAGGGTATCCATCCTTTCCTTGTATTGATTTATTACTAAATGGCCTAGGATAGTGATTCATGCACTGACCATCCTTCATGCATGAATTTGTTGGATGATGTTTTCCACATGGACCATGCATCATATGCTTGACAACTAAGTCATGCAAGAGTGGACATTCTTCTTCATCAGGAAGTTTCGTAGAAATAAACTTGTCATATTGGTCTGCTGATGTTATCTTGTACCCTTGTTCAAGTATTATCAAAAGGTGTATGTGTGGTAGGCCTCTTTTTTGGAATTCAACCACGAAAATATGTGCCGCAACAGGACCAAATATTTTTTTCTTGAAAATCTGATCCTTTAAATCTTGTAATTTTGCCCTAAAAACTCTAGTCACTAAGTCTGGTCTATCTTGTGCAAGTTGTCCTTCGCATAGATTTTCCTGGATCTCCGCCCAATCGGGATTACATGTCATTGTGATAAATAAATCTGATTTTCCAAAATGTTGAACCAAAGCCATTGCATCCATATACCTACGACGCATATCTCTAGGGCCTCCGATGAATGATGCCGACAATATTACTCTTTGGCAAACTTTATCTCCTCTATATTCTCCAGCCATGATACTATCAACTATACCTTGCAATATTTCCCTTCTAATTAGTTCTTGCTCTAATCTAAAGAATTCAAGTCTTGTTGTTTCTAACTTGATGTACATGTCAATCACAAATTGCTGCAATAACCGTCCGCACAATAGTAGTATTGTCTTTTCTCCTTTGCGTATTTGAAATTTGTAGCAATAATACTCTCTACAAGACACACATGATTTAGATTCATGATGTACACCTACAAAAATAAGTCGTATCTATTTGTAGGTAATATTTAAATAAGAAAACTAAAGTGATACGTAATTTAATTGCAATACTTTACCTTGCTCCTCTTTGTGAAACACCTCATTAGCGGACGTGTATGTTGGGACATTCTGGTTTACATTGGCTACTTCAGATGTACTTGCACCTCTTTTTGATTTATATTTGTGTATTCCTTGATGCCAGCCAACCTCTCCATTTGGAAAAAGCAGAGGATATTGGAGTGGGCCATAACAACCATAATAATGTTTGACTTTATGTTTGTTGCCGGAATGCTCATGAACAATAATCTCTCTATCGAATGGTATATTTGGATTGTTTCCATCTATCCAAATTGCAGCAATTTGATCTACTGATGGTTTGTTGTAGACACGTTAATCCAGTGTAGCATTGACAACAATTCGAATTTTTAAATCTTGGAAGCTTGAATGATCCTTTAGCTGGCAAAAGAATTGTGCATAAGGATTCCCATCCATTAGCTGCCTAATTTTTGTCACAACTTCCTCAGATAAGTTGGCTTTTTGCAATTTTGAAATCCGATTGCATAATTCATTGTCCATGTCAAAAATATATAACTGAAAATAACATGGATTATCCTCACGTGGAAGCTGTCATGACCCAAACCTCGCTCCGGTCATGATGGCGCCTTTCGTGAAGACAAGGCCAACCAACAAACCCATATCGTCTTTTCAAAAATAGTTAAACATTAATAAACATTTAATGATTTAATGATATAATTAACGGAAGCACAACCCGACACAGCCCTAACCAGGGTGTCACAAGTCACGAGCATCTACTAGGGTATAAATACAACTGAAAGCCTGGAGTGTACAAATACAGACTAATGAAATGAGGAGAAAGAAAAGCAGTACTGCGAACGTCGGCAGCTACCTTGATAAACCCTGATGACTCTGCCTCCGATCAGCCAAAACATACCTGAATATGCACACATGGTGCATGGAGTAATGTGAGTACTCTGACTCAGTGAGTAATAATAATTAATAAAGACTGAAGGCAAGAAATCACGTAAAAACACAACGTATTCCATACTGAAGCAGTAAAATCACTTTAAACAGTAAAGCAATGAGAAATCAAGTGAAAATCCCTTTTTTCAACAAGTAAAGCAAGTAGTTTACAAGTGAGTAACAAAAATGATAGAAATGTAAACAGCCCCTCGGGAAAAACATGTACAACAAACTGCCCCTCGGGCATAACATCAACAGAACCAGCCCCTCGGGATCAATATCAGAATAGTGCCAGCCCCTCGGGTTCAATATCAGAACAGTAACAGCCCCTCGAGCTCAATATCAGATCAGTAACAGCCCCTCAGGCTCACTCTCAGAATAGTATCAGCCCCTCGGGATACCTCACAATCACTCATATCAGCCCCTCGGGCATAGTATCAATCACTCAGAACAATGGGTACCTGTGCTCACTAGGGGTGTGCAGACTCCGAAGGGGCCCCTTACGGCCTAAGCGCTATATCAAGCCATATCGTGGCATCATCACTCAGCATATCCTCATATCACTCAAGCCACCGTGTGGCATATAAAGTATCTCAGGCCCTCGGGCTCATATCACTCGGCCTTACATCACTCAATCCACCTTGTGGCATAAATAGTATCTCAGGCCCTCGGCCTTATATCACTTGTGTCACGACCCAATCCCCGAACCCAGTCATGATGGCGCCTCTCGTGAAGACAAGGCCAGCCAGACCAAAACGGAACACCCCTTTTAAACAGTTAATCATCATCAACAATAGTAGCATATAATATAATATTCATAAATTGCGGAATTTAACGATAATAATAGCAGGAACCATGCCGACATAGCCCAAACCGGGGTGTCACAAGTCATGAGCTACTACAGAATCTGCTATAGGTCAACAAAGTACGGAATCCGATACAACAGTCTGAAGAAAACGTAAATGATAGAGGATATGAGAAATAAGGGGATGCGGACATTAACAGCTACCTCGTAACTCCAAATCACTGCCTAGCCTGGAAGGAATCAGCGCTCAGGTGCGGACTCTGCTATACCTGAATTTGCACACACGGTGTAGGGAGTAATGTGAGTACTCTGACTCAGTGAGTAATAATTGCAAATAATGGCTGAAAGTATGAAAACACGTAAAGGCACAGAGCAATTCCATATCAAGCAGTAAAA